TGTTAGAGACGGGGGATGATTTCTGTCCTCGCAATACTCTTTAATAGGAATCCGACAAAATATTCATCGATTTCTACTGATCTACTCCAAATGTTGCATATTCTCAAAACTAAAGTCATTTGCTCTTAGTGACCAGCATCAGGTGTGCAGTCCAAAATGATGGAATGATATTTCGAACTTTAAACCATATTTATAACTTTTTGTAAAATAGCGTCGCCGATCAGATTAACTACTTCATTTTATATTGTTTTGCCCACGTAATGAACATGAATTTCTTTTTTTTTATATACGCCGTAAGTGATCTTCTATACGCCGTAAGTGATCTTCTATACGTCGTTAGTGATCTTCTAGGCATGAATTGTGTTTTCTATTAGTTCAACCAATCCCAAAAAATTTCCTTCGTTTGGATGAAAAAATTAATCCACACTGTTAGAAAGTACCATATTCCGTTCTGCAAGAAACTGCGCAATTGAAACGATTCTTTTTAAAACATTGTTCCAGTGATGAGTCTTTTTTTAAACAAGTTTTTGTGTATCCTTGTTAACTGTCTCTCATTTCTTTAACATGTTTTGCAGCTCAAATCAAGCGCCGACGGTACGAATGTTTCATGGAAACAATTTATTATTAGTTAGACATTTTAATTTTCCTTCAATTGTAAACTTGATTATTAGATCTAGGAACAATCAATCTCTTTGTGTTGTAAGGTTAGTGTTATGGTCGTCGAGCACGACTTTTTTCCTAATCGCAATTGCTGTCACCGCGAAAGAGGATGTTTGGCTGTGGAAGATGCCTGGGCTAGCTTTCTAGTCATAAGTCAGTTCTAAATCCATGCATAGGTGTTTAATCCATCATGGTTTTCTGGAGTATGGCTGGGCTGGCTTGGTTTAGTTCAGAGACAAATCTTTTACGCTGGTTACTAACAATACAAGACTCTACTGAACGACATAAACAGCACAGACTTATACATTACACCTATACACCCTAATGCACATACAGCCTGTTTACATCGTTTGCATGATTTTTGTTCTTTCATAGATATCTATAGTTGATAGTTGAAAGATATCTATTTCATAGATATCTTTTAACTATCTTTGTTTGAACTCATCCTTATTTAAATAATATTTTCTTTTAATAGATAATATGTGGTTGAAATGTTGATATAGATTTGTATGTTATCTATATGTGTTTATCATGTGTGATTGAGTTTTTCATTTAAGGATTCATATGTATGTATATATATATATATATATATATATATATATATATATATATATATATATATATATATATATATATATATATATATATATATATATATATATATATATATATATATATATATATATATATATATATATATATATATATATATATATATATATATATATATATATATATATATATATATATATATATATATATATATATATATAAGAGCGATTCTTATAAACTAGTGGCTTTCGCGACATGTTTTTATGATGGATGTTTTTCCTTGTTATTTTGTTATGGTCATTTAATTCGGACCGTAGAGAAAATATTCCTTTTCGGAAATTTCGATTTAGATATGGTCTCAAAAAACATCTCTTTGTGTTGCCTTCTTTTCCAAATTAAAATGCAAAAAAAAAAAAATTTTTTTTTTTGGCGTTTTAATGCACCAGATCTAATAGAAAGTTTTAATATTTTCACCAAAAGAAAGAAGCAAGGTTAATTCCAAATTTATTAATTAAATTTCTTAATTAGCTCGTCGTTATATTTATAGTAAAACCGCATAACTCTCTTTCTCCTGTTATGACCTTTAATAACGAACTTGTTAAACAAATCGTATATATTTATTTATTAAAGTTCAAAGAATTAAAACACCTTTGGGAATTGCGACGTAAAATTTATTTAACAATAAAATCACTTTAGGAATTGCGAATGAAAAACAATGTTCTTTTCGCAGGGCCGACGACACGTTTTCGAGGCGGCCCGGCAACGGCTTGGACAGTCGGACTATTTATAATAGATTTTTAAACTTTATTCTTTTTTATTTCCTAAAACTTTTTAGAACAATTTACTTTACAAATAATACGGTTATTGTCAGTGTCTTTATATTGTAAAAAAAAATATTTTAGCTACTAAAATCTTTTGAATTCTTTTTTATTTTCAGCTAATACTACTTTGCTGAATTGATAAAAAGTAGCGGTTTCTATCAGCACACAGTATAATTAACGAATGCTAATAGAAACCACTTTTTTTTACGCAATCAAGCGGCTAGATAAGTTACGAAATAAAAGTTTTCGCTTTTACTTTTTTCTCTTAAGAGAAACGCTTCACGATCGTTGGAATTTAAAACCTTAATCTCAAATAAAATTTGTTTGGAATTTATTTATTTGATAAAACGTGATCAAAACAAAACGCGTCATAAGCATATGAAAGGTCAAGCAAACTGGAGCCATCAAACATGAAACATTGTTTATGTTTAGTACTTTAATTTTTATTGTCTCATTTAATCTCAGTAACGACAAAAATAAAAAAACTGGTCTGCAAAATCTGCTTATTCATTCAACTTTTTGTTACGTCTTTTTAGAGGGCCTGGCTCATATACATAACTCCGTAACTGGATATTTCCGCGCTACAGACACGCGTATTTTTTTCAAAATTTTAAGTTTTGTATGATTAAACAACATTTCTACAATTGCAGATAAATTAAATATCTCACTAAGGAAAATATATTTAAAAAATCCTTTTAGTTAAAAGTGATTTAATAAAAACCACATGTTTAAAACAACTTTTTAGTGTTTAAAAAATTGTTTTAAAAATGTGATTTTTGTTAAATCGCTGAAGTGTACACTACACGTGCTTTTTCAGGACTGATATCGAGACGCTTTCTAAAGTAATAAAAGTTTTAAACACTTCTTAATCTTACCTTTCGTTTCCTACCTTAAAAGTGAGTTTTTACAGTATTACAGTATACTCAACTTGATGGACGGGGTGTACTTATTCTACCGCTTATGTTTACTCCCATGCATTGGCCCTTGGCGTTTGTTTGTCAGTTAATAATAAAAGTTATTTTTTGCTTTAATTTAAAAACAGATTTTTAATTTTTTTTTTTTTTTTTTTTTTTATTCAAAGAAACAGCTAAAATAAATTTAACCAACAAGAATCATACAAAAAACTTTACCGTACATCTTTGGCGTAGAATTAATATACTTTATTTAAAAAATATTTTGTATTTAAAAACGCGTAGAATAATATTTTGTTTTACGAATTAGCAAATTTATATTTCAGACAGCCCCTTAACATCTATAGATCTGCAACATTTACGTATTTATAGTTAATGCGCCTCTAAAGCTTTTAGCTGACGTTGACTTGTAGTCTCGTTGCAAACAATTTTTTTTTACATTTTTTTTAAAATTTAATTAAACAACATAACATTAATCTAATTAATCTAAATTTACTATTTAAAATTAACCTAATAAAAAATGTATTGTTAAGCAAGTTTAAAAAAAGTTTTTAAGCCTTTCTATGAATAAATGGACTACTTGAAAGTTTTATAAAATATTAGTATTTTTTTTTTAAATTAAAAACGATATAAAGACGATTTTTCGCTGGCGAATAGAATTGATATTTATTTAATCTATACTTTTATCGATCGTTTATATCGTTTCATTGTTTCTATAGTTTTTAAAAGCAATTAAAAGACAAATCGTCTTCAGAATGAAATATCTTAAGTAGTTAGCAAACTGACGCAAATTTTTGAGCCATCTGCTAGACCACCGTTGTTTGTGCTCAAAGTTTGGTGACTCAAAAATCTCGTTTACTGCACTTTTACTCAAGAAAGGTCTATATAAACCGCATTTTTACTTGTATGGAAGTCATAAAGAAGCACATATCAATTATTAAAAAAATTTGAATACACGACTATTTTTAAATCCTAACGCATTTTTAATAGATAAAACGTTTTTCTCAGTAAATTTAACCCGTCTAATTTATAAGTGTGTCTCAAATTATAAACCGCAAATATCTTAAAACTTTTTTTTTTTAATAGAATTGACGTCAATTGAAGGTCTCGTTAGAAAACGTCAAACGATTTTTAAATTACTAAAGAGTTTAAAAATTTATTATACAGAAATTTGTCTAATTTTATTGCATTTTTTATTAAGTTGCAAAATACTCTGGCCAAATATTTAGTTCATTCTAAATATAGTTTTATTATTACTGAACTTGCCGTAAATTACACAATACTAATTTAAAGTTTGCCGCATATGTGCAGTGAATCATTTTTCGGAGATGTTAAAAAATGTTAAATAAATAAATTTGTTTACGCGTGGTACCAGTTACCGGCAAGTCTAGACCATGAGTTCAATTCTTCAAGAAAACTAAGCTCATTTATGTCTAGCCGTCAAGAAATGTGCTTCGTTAATACCGTTTTTTTAATGACTCTTTGACCGCATTATAAATAACTTATTCCGCATCACAAGTTTAATAAGTATTTTTCTATATAACCAATTTTTTTTTCTTATTTCTGCGGTCTATTTTTAGTTTTGTTTTCATGAATTTATTTGATTTTAGCAAGCCATTCAAGTATCGTTTTTAATTTTTTACACAACGCGGCGCCTAATTTATCACCTGGTTAAACTGCACAAAAATGGGATTATCGGTGTACCTTATTAAAATGTTGTCGGGAACCAATCAAAACAAACTATGATTGCGCTTTACAATAGAATGTTTTACGCTTCCTTAGTCACGTTATCACATAAATAAAGTTGAGGGTTTAACATTAAAAATATATATGAAAAATATTTCAAATAAATAAAAATAAAACTATTACTTTTTTATAAAAATACCAAATTTTTCAAGTTTATTTATAATTAATTTAAAGTAATTATTTTTGCTATTTAAGTTTTAATTTTCTAAAATATAAATATTCTAAATACAAGTTAAAACCCCCTAAAATAATAAAGTTTTGTTTAAACTCAAACATCAATATCGGATCCAGACAAGCACACCGTAGAAAATTTGTTTGAGACGGAAATCTATAGATATAGCTTCGGCGTTTTAAGTGCGTTGGAATGAACATTAAATTGGAAGTTTTGTTTAGTTAAAGTAAGTATTTAAAAAAAAAATTAAAAAAAAATTAAAGTTTTCATCGAATTGCAGATATCTGATTAATATTTTGTTTAACCATTTTATCCCGACACTTAATTAAAGTCGCCAATTTGTCTGTTAGTTATAGACAATACTAGGTGTCTGATGACTAGAGACAATACCAGTGTCTTAAAGAAGAAATTTTATTTCTTATGTTATGGTTTTTAAACGAATCAGTGAATAAGAAAGACGTTAAGATTATTTTTTTTTTCAGTTGAAAAATTATGGATTCAAAAACATTAGAAAAAGTCCATCCCAACCCATTACTTCATTTAATACTTCAAAGATATACTGAAACAGCTCGAAATTCTATTCATGGGCCTGTTGCGTTAAAAGATGATCTTCCACAAATCGCAGTAAAGAAAACTGTTAGGCACACTTCCAGTTCCGAAATTCCCTTAGAGTTTCAATATAGAACAACATACCTAGAAGGTTACACTGTAGCATGCTTTTTAGTTGGAGGAGAAAAGCGCTTGTGTTTTTCTGAATTAGTTCATACTGTATTAAAGGACATAAATGTTCAGGAAATATTTGAAAAAAGGGACAAACTGCTAATATTTACATCAAAATGCTCAATGAAACAGTTAGATGAACTAAAGTATAATGGTGTTCTACCCTGGACATCATCTTCAAGTAATTTGATAACAAAAAGTGATTCTTACAGGTTAATAGGAGCCTTGCAAAATCATTTAGCACCAAAAGATAGGAACACTTGTAGCCCATCTTCTTTTCAAATTTACCATGAATGTTTTGGTGGTTGTGGTGGTGTATTTGATGCAGAACGTTATGTTAAGCCACAATCACTATGTATAAAATGTGATACGTGTAAAGGACTTTTTTCTCCACCGAGTTTTACAACTCATAGCCATAGTTCATTTGACAATGTGCACACTTGTCATTGGGGGTTTGATACAGTTCGATGGAGATCATATATAATGCTGGTAGAAAATCAAGTTACTCCCGATTTGATAAAAACATGGAACGATATAAAGTTGAAATTTAATAATACAAAAATAGTTAAGAGTGCACAATATGTTGGAAAAGATCAAATCATGGCAAAATACCCAGCAAAAAAGGATAAACAAGATAGAGACGTATTACCTTTAGAAATTATTTCAAGTTCTTATCTACCAAAAAATAATACTTCAGCATTTCAACCATGGTCATTAAAAAACAGACAAGACCATATACTTGAAAGCTCTCAAAACAACAAATACACAGTTTTAAAAACACCAAATCATTCCAATGTTGATAACCCATGTTTAACGAAAGTTAATGATTCCAAAGTTTGTAGGTTTCAGTCTTCAGTTTATATGGATTGTGTTCATTGCAAAAATGCTGTCGAATCCAATTCTAAATTTTGTGACATTTCCGAAAAAATTAATGAAGATATAAAACCTAAAATTGAACCAAATTTTGAAAATATTCAAAACCAAGAAAAAACCTTTGAGTTAATGATTAAAAAAGTATTAGAAAAGTATATTTCTATAGACACTGTTAATGTCAAGGATTTAGTTCATCACTTATCTAATGAGTTTAAACAGCTGAACATTTCACAAGATAAAAGGCTCCAAGAAGCGCTTATAATGAACCACCATCTTGAAAATGAGTTGCAATCGGTCAAACTAAAAAGCAAAAAAAAGATTGCAGAAATTAAAATTGAAAAAGATCAAATTGAGCAAGAGATTGAAACTTTGCACAGAGAACGTCAAAAAGTAAGTTTTAATAACTAATATATATATATATTTAAAATAATGTCTAATTCGTCTTAATCATGCTTATGCAGTTGATGTGATCAACTTTTCAATTTAGTAGTAGTTGTAGTTAAACAATAGCTGTGTAACAACAAGTGAGTTAGAAACTCACTCTGACAGGATTCAATAATATATAATAATTTACTAATGCAAAGATTGAAAAATTGAAACAAAAATTAGTTTTAAGTTTGTTCTTTTGATGCTGAATATTTGTCTAATTTTTTCTTAAAACTGTTTGCGTTAGTTGATTTGATGACCCTTCCAATAGTAATACATAAATTTGCTGTTTTGTTTATAGTGAATTTATGTCTCTGTATAAACTTGGTTTGTTATCTGTTGTATTTTTTTTTTTGTGACCTCGTGATTTTTAGAAAAATGGTTTGATCTACTGTTTTAATATCAATGAAAATCTTAAATAATTGAATAAGATTTTTGTCTTATTATTGAAAATGTTGTTTGATCAAGTGTCTGTAAGCAGTCTTGGTGCTGCAGACTTCTTATGTTCTTTACTATTCAAGTCATTATGCGTTTTACTTTTTTTATATAATTTAATGTCAAGTATATAGTTTGTCAACCAAATTGGTGCTGCAAATTCAATTAGCAAATTAATGTTGTTTTTATCATATTGCATACTATACATTTACTTTTGTTCAGTTAATTTAACTCTTTTAAATATTTTGTACAAATTAAGTAAAATGTTGTATTTTACTTTTTAAAAATACTTATAAAGTAATTTCCTAAAGAGATTAATTTGTCTTATTTTTTTATTGTTCTGTTTCCTTTTAATATAATACAAAAACTGGGAAAATCTTTTTTCTGGTTTTTGTATTATATTACATATTGTCTTCGAAGGATGTACTAGGCTTATTTATGTATACATGTTGATAAATTATTCCATAAATTTAAATTCTTAAAACAAGCTTTTGTGCAGTTTGATACTACTTGCCCAAAATTTAACGAGCTAATTTTGCAATTGAATTATGTTAAATAATGACCCATAAGCATGCTTTGAATTAATTACTAGTTTTTAACTTGGTGCTTTTTGAAAATATAGTTTAAATGTTATTCATTTTTTTTGTTTGTTATTACTTATGAATTAATAATTTATTTATTTTGGTAAAGTAAAATAAAGATATAATATCATGAGAATTAATAATGAAACTTTTTAATTTTCTCCATATATATTCATATAGAAGTGTCTACATGTAGGTAATTAAGATTAGTAATGTGTAAGAATAAGTTAAAGTGGAATATATTAATATTCTATAGACCTTAATCTTCAGTTGTAAATTGTATATATATGTATATATACAGTTACCAAAATTAGGAAAAATGAGTAAGGCAATTTTTTACTGACCTTAAATACTTTAAGGTAAGCATTGTTGAATGCCGACCCTAATTCTGAGGGCTGTATATATACATTAGGTTGGCCTTTAAAACAATTTTTTTGAGAAAAACCTGCTCCAACCCCCTAAATGTGTTCTATCTAATACAAAAACACTTTTCCCTTAAAATATTTTTCGAATCAAAAATATTTTAAGGGGACCCTCAAGATCCTTGAATATTTAATGGGTCCCTAAAGGTTTTTCAAAAATATGCATTTTTTATGTTTTTTTATGATGGTTTTGATAAGTTAAAAAAATTTTTTATTTAAATATAATTTTTGAAATTTTTATATAATTTTGCTTCATTTGAGTACGAGGTTGACATATTTTTGAAAAATTTTTTTTTGAAAATATTAGGGACCCATTAAATATTCGAGGGTCTTAAGGGCCCCTTTAAAATATTTTCTATTCTAAAAAATTTTAAACCTAGTGTTTTTGTATTAGATAGAACACATTAAGGGGGTGGGAGCAGTTGTTTTAAGGGCCACCCTAATATACATATATATATATATATATATATATATATATATATATATATATATATATATATATATATATATATATATATATATATATATATATATATATATATATATATATATATATATATATATATATATATATATATATATATATATATATATATATATATATATATATATACACACACACACATATATATATATATATATTTATATATATATTCTTTTAAAAATATTACGCAATAAGAAAAACAAAATTTTTTTTGACAAATTTATGAAACGTTATATATATATCAGGGCTCAAATTGAGTGATATTGCGAATTGCAATATCTGGAAATGCTTCCGGTCTTTAAAATTTTAGCTTTTTAAAAACCGTAAAACTGTTTTATCACTAAACTCAATAGATATCATTTAATAAAAAATATTTACGTCGATTATGATATAAAATCTCAATGTAAAACCATATTATCGCTATTATTTTTATTATTATTAAAGATTATAATTAAAACTTTAATATTTTAATTTGTTTTATAAAACATCAGATAAAACTAGAAAAATAAAGCACAATAAAGTACGATATAAGTATTGAAAAGTAAGCCCTAATCACAACAATCTAAAGGACTTTAACAGTGATCGAATATTTTAAATAAAAGAAATTGTTAATTAAGATATAAAATACTTTTATATGTTATTTATATCTCATTCAATATTTTCTTATAAATTTAACGCTTGTAACACTTTAGCTGATACGAATATAAAATTAAAAGATGGAGGAGTTATTATTTAAAAACTAATTTAAACTTTTTAATAGTTACTTTAAAACAAAAAAAAAGAAACTCTAATAACATATTTTAAAAAAATATACTTCATAATTTTTTTTCTTATTAAATAATTAACTTTTAATTTAAAATATTTAAATTTGTAAATAAATAATTCCATAAACTTTCCCCCTAAATAAAAATCTATTTTAATGTTTTATATAATGCGCAAGTAGCTTTAGCATACTTTTTTATCGGTTGTTTTTTTCTACAAAGTTTTATACAATGCGCAAATAGCTTAAGCATAGTTTTTAATTGGTTGATTTTTAAATTACCGCGAAAGTTTGTCAGACCTTTAGTAATAATAGTTTTTGTCTTGCAACTTTTTTTTATTTATTATCCTTAAATTACATATTATTAATGATTGTAAAAAAAAAAAATAACTAATAATATGTAAATTTTGACTTATTATTTTTGCAATAGTAAATTTATTGTTTTGCTTTTTCATTAATTTTTGCAATATGATAAACTGATCGTTTCAAAACAGTGTTAACAGTTTTTAAAAAAACTAAGAATTTAATGACCACAGATATTTCCAGATATTGCAATTCGCGATCACTTAATTCGAGCCCTGTATATGTATATATATATATATATATATATATATATATATATATATATATATATATATATATATATATATATATATATATATATATATATATATATATATATATATATATATATATATATACATATATATATATATATATATATATATATATATATATATATATATATATATATATATATATATATATATATATATATATACATATATAAACCCTCGGAATTAGGAAAAATGAGGTCGGCAATAATTTGCTGACCTCAAACACTTTCAGGACGGCATTGCCAAATGCCAACCCTAATTCTGAGGGTTGATATATATATATATATATATATATATATATATTATATATATATATATATATACACACACACACACACACACACACGCACATACACACACAATTATAAAAGCACATTTAGATTAGCAAACTGGTGTCATACTAAAATAAGCAGCTGTGGGGCTTCAATGCATATGTTGAATGACATAGGGAGAACTTGCAAGAGAGTTGTTGTTAGATCTAAGAGTTATATATACAGTCAGACAAATATGTATCAGAACAAAACATTTTATTGTAAAAAATAAATTTTCTCAGGTTATTTCAGAAAATAAATGTTTTTGACATGTTTTGATGTTTTTGATATGTTTTAAAACAACAACGATATTTATCAGCATAAAAATGTGTCAAGCCTTCTTTAAAAAGATTTTGGAATACAAGTGAGCGCATGTACTATTTAAAATTGGTTGAAAGAAAATGGATTTTAAGTAACAGTTCCACGTAAGAAACCATTCCTTTCATAAATCCATAGAAAACAAAGACTTGCATTTGCTAAAAAATATGTAAATATGCTGGTATCATTCTGGAGGAAAGTTTTGCAGACTGACAAAATTTAATCTTGTGAAGTCCAATAAAGCTTAAAAAGTATAGAGAAAAAGTTGCTTGACCTTCACACTCAGTTACATTTGAGTAACTGTAACTGAGTTTGAATGTCTAATATGATGTTAGACATTCACACGCAGTTACAGTTGATGATTTGGAATGGAACAGGAAAACTTCAGTTTATTGATGGAATTATGAACTCTGAAGTTTATGTTAACATTCTCAGTAAAAATCTTTGGGCCTCAACTAAAATACTGCGGTTGAGAAAGAATTTCATTTTCCAACAAGACAATCACATATGCTTACGTCAAAGAAAGCAAAAGAGTTTTAATCTAGAAGCAGTTTAATATACTTGAATGGCTCAAAATCCACATCCTTTCCAAATTGAACACCTCTGGGCTGTTCTGGATCAAAAATGTGGCACATGATGTCAAAAATGTGGCTCATGATGTCTAAAATATAAAGAAGAGCTAAAAATCATGCTCCAAGAAACTTGGACTCATATTGATCCAGATACGACAAAGAAATTAGTTAAATCAATGCTATGTCAACTTTCAGAAGCCGTAAAAGCATAAGATAATCCAACTCGATATTAAAAAGGAAAAAAATTTACTTGAAAAAGCGTTTAATCTTTGAAACTTTGTTTGGATACTTATTTAATACTAAAAAATTGCATTGTTTGAACGTTTAGTTGATTTTTTAGCAAATATATATAATTATTGTAATTTTTTTTGCTTATTGTAATTATGATTAATTTTGTTTGGATACTTATTTCTCTAATTGTATATATATATATATATATATATATATATATATATATATATATATATATATATATATATATATATATATATATATATATATATATATATATATATATATATATATATATATATATATATATATATATATATATATACATACATACATTCATACATACATACATACATACATACATACATACATACATACATACATACATACATACATACATACATACATACATACATATATTTAGTTTTCTTATTTGTAGTCTGCACTTTTCTTTATTCTACATTCAGTAGACTATATCATAGTATGTCTATAAATTAGATGTTATAATCAAAGTTATAAATATTCAATCTTATATATGTTGTAGTATGTTTTAGTCAGTTTATTCACAAAAAAGTGTATATTCTGTTAAAAGAACTTATTTATATGTAGGAAATAACTCTGTTTAATCAAATGAGGTGGGAGCTTAATCATGAGGTTTCTAAAAATAAGGTAAACAAGGCAGATGATATAGAAACAATACAAAAGGAAAATATACTTCTGAAAATGAAACTTGAACAAATACTTGTTGATCGAGAAAACTTGCATAAGCAATTAACTTGGCAGTTGAATAAAAAAAAAAACCAATCGTGGATGCCATTTCCTTTAACAGCCCAAAATTTTTCAAGTTGCGAAGATAAATACACAGAATACAACACATTTAAAAGGGCATCTAGTTGTTGTGATTCATCAATGGCAAATAGGTAAAATAAAATCAAAATGAATTATTTACATTTTAAAGATTTTTCAAGTTTTGAAGATTTGTTTAATATTATTTAGTTCACTTAGCCCTGCTCCAAAGTCACGTAAAATTGATTATCCTAGAACTATAACTTCAACTATTACCCAAATAAATACAGCTGTAAGTGAGGAAAATAGTGACATTGATGTGGATGACTGAAAGGTAAATAATAAACATTAAATGTTTACTAAGTTTTTTGCTTTAGTAAATGAATATTTATATAAAATAAGTTTTTTGTTTTACTTTTGAAAATAATTGTATTTTTTTTTGCATTAGAATGCAGCTCTATAAAAGTGCTTTATAAGCTGAATTTTTTTGTCTTTTTTTTTATTTTTATTTTTTACATTCTTCCTCCTGATATATAATAATAATATATATTATATAGATTTATAAAATAATAAATATATAATAACACGATATATACAAAAATACCCTAACACATATTACAAATCGGAAATGTAATATGTGTTTGGGTATATATATTTTATATTTTTTGGGTTTATTTATTTATATATATATATATATACGTATATATACATACATATATGTATGTATATATATATATATATATATATATATATATATATATATATATATATATATATATATATATATATATATATATATATATATATGTGTGTGTTTTTTGTTTTTTTAGATTTATTACCAACGATTCGCTCATCTCCTTAATAACGTTGGTTTGATAACCTTATAAATAAAAAGTTCCATCTTAGTGTAATCCTTAGATATTAAAAAGGTTTTTATAACCTAAAATATTATGCTTCTCAAGTGTTGCATAGTTGCAAATGTTATGCTTCTCAACTGTTGCATAGTTACCTCTGTGAAATCTAGTCAGATTTTAGGAATGAATTGTATTTTAAGCCAAAAATATTCATTTTGTTAGATAATTCAGCTTAAATAATCCTGGCTTAAAAAGTCTTGCTGATAAAATATTGTGTTATTTATTTTATTGTGTTTTTTTTATGAAGATATTTTTGCTGAGCAAGCGTTTACCATTTTATGATCGAAATTTTTTTTCTCATAAACTGATGTTTATTTTCATAGTATTGAACATTATCTTAAGATATTTTTGAGTACAAGAAAGTTTTTATTTTTCAGGTGGAAAATTTTTTTTTTTTAATTTTTACAAGTTTAACATGTTACCTTCTGTAAATAAATTATTCTAAAAACAAACTTCTGTTATTTGGTGTATATAGCCATATGTAACTCTGTATGTAATTCGTTATAAATTTATATGAAAAAAGTTATTATTCTTTTATTTCTAATATTCTTGTAACTAGGTTATCAAATTAATTTTTAAACATTCTTGTATCAAGATTTACTGAAAACAGGTAAGTATTATAAAAACTGTTGCAGAAATAACTTTACTTTGCTTGATGTTAAAAAAGAAGTACTTTTAAAATGAATCATTGTTTTGAAGATTGTTTATAAATTACATGTTTTGCTAAATTGTCAACAGCACTTTTACTTGATAACAAATCTAAAAAGCTTCCAACTAAATAATTTTTTTTTTTTCGTTTTTTTTGTTGTTTGTTATAATGGAAGAGTTAATTTAGCAAAACTTTTTACATATTGCTCTAGTGTTTTGTAAATAGTTACATTCATACCGTAATTATTTTTGTTGTTTAAAATTTTAGTTAAACTATTTTAATTTTTTTTTTTTTTTCACGTGCATCTAAAAGGTTTAGACCCCAATTTTTTCTCAATATTATAAACGCTCTTTTCTATTTTTATGGAACAAATGCTATTACAACAAACATTTTTGTTGTCATGACTTTTAACACTGTTCGGATTCGGAAGCTCTTTTTATTGTTATAAAACAAAAAGGTTTCATGTTATTGACATGACAAAACCTAGAGGTCACTTTGGCCCAGAATAGTGTTCATCTGATCGTTTTCAAAACCTTGATTCTGTTACTGTTATCCTGTTATTTATGTTCTGTTGTCCGACTACTTGTTAAAAAAAGTTGTTGCCAACATTTAAAAAAAATAACTGATAAGTCAATTATAGAAGTAAGCAGGTTCAGCATACCAAAGTATGGTGCTGTAACAACCAAATGTCAACCAATAGTTTTAAATGTTCTGGCACCATTATCGGTAAAACATGTAGTCAGAGTTATTTCGAACGAAGGTCATTTTTCAAATTTAGAAGAACTAATGAAAATACTATCACGTACCCTATGTTTTTCAGTTAAACTTTTATCAAGTTCTTATTTTTAAGTACAAACTTCATAATAAAAAAACTACTAAAATACTTAATACCCTTTTCAATATTTTATCGAATTACATTTATCCTTCAAGATTTTCAAATTACAATTATGAGAAATCTAAAATACATTAGTTGCCTACCAAATAAATTATAAAAAACTTCGTTAAACAATATACTGAAAAATTGTTTTTCAACTCGGCAAAGCAATTTAAACTCAGAAAAAAGTCTACGTCTTTCACTTACTCAAGATCCTAACTGTTTCAATATCACCAGATCAAAATTTGAATTTTGATCTGAAGGATATTTTATTACAAGTCTTTTCATACTCAAATCGTCACGTTTTGTAGTTATTCTTGGCCTTCCAGATAATTTTTAGGATGACCAGTTCCTTTATAATGTTTAACAAGATTGCTAACAATTGACTTGAAAAATTGACTTTTTTTTTTTTCGTTTTCTCTGCTAGAAAAACCATCCTTGTAATATTGTACTATAACTGCACGTTGATTAGTTGAAACAGGTGATATTTAAACAGGTGTTATATTGCCCATTTTACATTTTAATAAAGTAACAACATTAAAAACAAATAATATAAAAATAAAAATATATTGCACTCAAAAAGTATCAATAAAAGACAACTAAAGTAGCAAAAAAATTTATTACCGCTCAATTCGCCACATAGCTACAGTAATCCGATACCTCCTAAAAATTGTTTCTACATAATTAATAACCTATATCATTATAAGGAGTTAAAAATTTTTTTATTTATATTTATATTTTAAAGGGGCTTAGCGATAAGACTGATTTTGTCTTCTTTTTGCCCCAGCCATATATTTACTTTTTATGATAAATGTTTTTGTATTAAGCATTTTTTGGTATTTGAGAACTAACTTCCAGACATGAAAGACTCTTTAAACATTTATATGTTTATAATTATATTAAATAAATGTGCAAAAAATTGGATCATAGGAACTAAAAAACCCTAAAATTTTGGCCCCGATTGCCCCAAACCCGATAGCAACAAATTGATAAAATATTTTTTTTACTATTCTTAAATAAAGTTATTTTTATCTATAAATTTCAAATTTCATTGGATAATCTAATCAGCAGTCAAAAATTATGACCATATAAAATTTAAGTCCCATTTAATTTGAGGGGATAACAAAATTTGGTCATAACTTTTGAATGTTAAAAGATTATTGTATGAAATTTAACACTTTAACAATCTTAAACACTAAAAAAAACTGGATCCACCCATGATATGTGTTTTTGTGTACATGCACATAAAAATGTGTTTGCAGCTTTGTATTTATGTATCTTTATATACGAAAAAGTATTTATTAATTGATGAGTTAGAAATTACAAAAACAATAATGAACTAAAATGGCTGAAAGAATTATTGCATAGGCTTTGAACTGAACGTTTAGTTTAATCCGAACAGACGCCTTTAAAGAATTAAAATAAAAAATTAAAAATAGCAAAGAAAAAAAAAATAAAATTAAAAATAGCAAAAATTTAAATAACGTTATTTCAGGAGTCTATTTATTTACACAAGAATACAATATAAAAAATGTTTAACCACAAAGTAGCTCAACTGAATTCCAAAATGTATAATATATAAGAAAATAAAACTTAAAAGTTGAAGTTTGCCAACAGTAAAAAACGATGGAGTTTATATTCGAAAAATATAAAAATCTGACAAAGATTCCATACCTCTATCAACCTAAGTTACCTCTATCAACTAAAATGTATAAAAATAAGAAGAAGAACATATGGACATGAATATATATTCACAAAACTATGGACATAAACTTATATTTATTAGAATCGACTTCTTATAACTTACTAAGAAAAACTGAATCATTAGATTATTACAAGTACCCCAACCACCATCAACACCCCAAAAAAGCCAAATATTTAAAAAGTTTAATTTTGAATCTTAGCGGTTCTCTGCGCAAGACCTAAAGGTCTTTTTCGACTTTTCGTATTCTTTAGTTTATATTTTTATTCTTTTTGGTTTTTTTCATTTCTATTTTTTTTCTTTTTTACATATTACATAAAGATAAACATTTTCATGGACGAGAACATCACATGGCAACATCATATTAACTATGTCTGCTCAAAAGTTTCAAAAAGTATCGGAATTTCATAAAAGGCGCGTACTCATTTAGATAAAAATAATTTAACAAAACTTTATTACTCTTTTATTCACAGTTATATAAGTTATGGAGTTATTGCCTGGGATAGCACAAATCAAAGCAAGTTACAATGTCTCTATCGCCGTCAAAAACATGCGATCTGTTTAATTAATTCTGCGGATCGGTTCGCACTTTTCTCAATATTTTTTAATCAAATGAAAATACTCGATATATATAAACTAAACGTATATAAAAATTTATCTTTTGTTTACATGTGGAAGTATGATTTATCTCCTTTAATTTTTAAAGACCTTTTTATTTTGAAACAATTAACCAAGTTTAACATGAGAAATAATAATTATTTAAATGAACCACTCTGTCGAACAAAGTTCAATCAATTTTGTATCACTTATCGTGCAGCTCATCTCTGAAACAAAATTATTTTGCCCAACTTCGACTTACCACTAACTTACCCTGTTTTCAAAAATAAATTAAAAGATCTCATTCTCTCTATAGAAAATATCTTAGAATAATTTTAATTTATCTTGTGATGAAAAAATAATTTTTATTTTCAAGTTTTGTTTTATACTTGCTTACGATTTATTTTTATTTATCTAAGTTCGATCTAATGTTTTTATGTTATTTTTACGTGCTCATTGTAATAACGTTTTTTTTTTTTTTTTTTTAAATAATATTATGCGTACTCTCTTTTGTAAAAGGCTTCTGACGATAAGATCATTGTGATCTTTTTTTAGAAGCCTTGTTTGTATTTGAGAAATATGTAATTTATATATATTATGTCAAATGTAAACAAAAAACAAAAACAAAAAAAAATAAACAATAAATGTAAAATAAAAAATCGTTAAAACTATTTTTACAAAATTGTGCGCTTTATTAGCGACCGTTTACAAATCAACGAATAAGAATAACTAGCAGTCTAACTGTCATAAATCGGTATAAGAAAAAGTAAAGCAAAATTCGGCCATTATTAGGGAGGGGGGGGGCAAAATCTTTACGCTATTTATCAAAACAAAACAAATACTCAGTGTAAGGTTCGTTTAATTTAGTGTAATCAATAATAAATCGATACACAGATATTTGAAAATTTTGATATTATTGATTTTTTTATTTTATTTGAAATTTAATAATTATGTAAAATATGAATTGTTTTTGTTAAACATTTTATAATCATACTAATTTAAATCTGTATGATTTTAAAATTTAACATTCAACTCAAATCTTAGGTTTGGTAACTAAACCTAAAGTTTAACATTCAACTCAAATCATAGGTTTGGTAACTAAACCTAAAGTTTAACATTCAACTCAAATCTTAAGATTTGAGTTGAATTAGTTACCAAACCTATTTAGGTTTTGTAACTAAACCTAAGATTTAACATTCAACTCAAATTTTAGGTTTGGTAACTAAACCAAAAATTGAATGTTAATTTTTCAAGTCATTCAGAATTGAACAAGTATGATATTTAAATGTTTAACAAAACAATGCGTATTTTGCATAGTTATCAAATTTCTAGAAATAAAAACTTCTAGAAATTTTTATTTATGTTTTAACACTTTTTGTTATGAGAAAAGTTTATACTATTTTCTATATTTGATTTATCATCAATAGTTAAATAAATTTAATTCAATATTATGTTACAATCTAGTTGGCAATCAATTCGAAAAAAGCTCTATAAGTGTAAGCTTCATTTAATATTTTTATTTATAATATTTTCATATTATATATATATATATATATATATATATATATATATATATATATATATATATATATATATATATATATATATATATATATATATATATATATATATATATATATATATATATATATATCTATATATATATATATATATATATATCTATATATATATATATATATATATATATATATATGTAATTTATGATATAAAATATGTAAATATTTGAAAGCTTATAACATTAAACAGAAATTAATAATAAATAAATAATGTAAAAAGAAAATATATTATAAGTATTTATATTGTTAGGTATGTGACATGAAACTTTTTAACTGATTATATACTAGATTGTTATATGTCATTAAAAAAGGCTTCAATACTGTTAAATTTTAAAGGTGAAATTATCAAAATTCAGCAAACCTATCAAAAGGTATAACGTTTTAGATATGTAGATAATAGTTCAGTGCTTAAGATTTTCGGGCAGTTGTAGATTCATGCTTTGGACAAAAGTTACAGGAAATTGTTATGGAGATTTTTAAAACATTTAAATATTTATTTTTTATAGTTATTTTTTTTTAAATAACTATAAAAAAATATATCTGCAATACCTTGTATTTAAAAAAAAATATTTTAGTTATTTTTTTTAAAATACAAGGTCTTGCAGAAACCTTTGATACAAAGTTTCCTTTAACTTGAAAAATTCACATTATAATGAGTCACCCAGCTAACACAAAACGTTCTAGCACGTTCGACGAACGTTGCGAACGTTCGAGCACGTTCTATGAACGTTTATAAATCTTCCGAAAAATTTTGTATACACAATTTAAAATTAACGTTCAAGCAACGTTGCCACAAAGTTCATTTAGGTTAGGAAATAAAGTTCTTATTAGTAGGAAAATTATTACCTATTTTTATTTGTTAATTCTAGGAACCATTTCATTGAAAACTTGAATTTACTAAAGAAAAGATCTTATATGAAGAAAGCAATCGAAGAAAGAAAGTATTTTGCTCTATAACTGGTAACTCTACCCATTTATTGCAAACTCTTAATGTTGCATTAATTAGACTTTTTAAAAAAATTCGGAGGAAAATACTCGATCAATCGAAAAACTTTTGTTCTAAAAAAAACACAGAAAATAACAAAAAATAAATTTCTTTCGTTCTAACTATATTTACTTATAACCATTTTTTATTTTTCAGATCAAACGATAATCAGAAACTTAATAGCTTAGTGGTTTTGAATAAAATAGATGTAACTACTATCCTCAATAGTTTGCCAGATAGTGCACCATCATATCATGATACGCACTATTCATGCACTATTTTTATCATGATAAAAATAAACATTTACAGTAGTCGCGAAGCAGTAGTTATTGTACTTTAATCATTGCGTCGTGTTGATGTCAAAGAAAACGGAGACTCAAAGAGAAAAAAAATTTCTTTTGACTTTATTATTTTGAGAATTTTTTAGCGAATGTAAAGATGTTTCACTTGCATTGCCTGTAAATGAAACTGATGTAAATAAGAATGATGTAAATGAAACTGATGTAAATGAGACTGATGTAAATGAAACTGATGTAAATGAGACTCTTTTTATGCTAGTCCACTAAAAGCATACTCATTAAAACAAAACAAAATACCAAATTGGTGTTTGTTATAAAATAATATTATACTATTTTAGCAATAATAAATTTATGTTGAACTAGAATGTCATTTTTATTAAATTTTAAAATAAAACAATATATTTTTAATAGGTTTTGCTTTTACAAAAAACGTATTTAAAGTTACCTCATATGTGGGGTAAAAACAGGTAACTTCGAATGATAATTTGATTAATATTAAACAAAATCCTTTTGTTTAAATATTATTTTGAAACTGAATTACGTAAAAGACAACCATAGCCCCTATATTCATTTTGTTATATTTCAAATATTATCAATAGTGAAGAGCAAGTAAAAATATCTCAAAAACGTTCACGATTTCAAATTTTATTAATATATATAATATTAAATGATATATAACGGTTTTAACTTTCTAGCGAAACAAAATGAGTTTTTACATAAATATTTTCCAACTAAATAAACATATATATATTTAATATAGACAAGCATAAAACACAGCTAAATACTAACTAATTTTAATTTATTTCATAAGATATTTATTTTTTCTTCATCTTAAACTAAACTAATTTTAAAAAATTCTAAAAAATTTTTTATTATAACTTTTAGACATTGTTATCCTTACTATTAAAATATTCTTTTAATTTTCTTTTCGTTATTACTACAATTACCATCAGTACTTTTTTGTTTGTTTATTTTTTTTATTTTTTTATTATTACAACGGGTGCGGCGTAAAGAATGAGACAATTTATAAACTGCTTTATTAAAATTTCTAACAATGTTTTTTTCCCTCTATTTCAGCGAATGGTTATGCGAAAAAAAAATTGGAATGGTTTCTATATTTCTTGGATTCAAAAATGACAATTGACCTCAGCATCAGAAAACTGATTAAATCTTACATTGACTCTGGTTTTGATGCTCCCAAAATCTACAATATGCTCAATAAAACTATTCCAGAGCAATAGTTTATAAATAGGTTAATCACATAACTCACTGCAAAATATCAGCCAAAAAACCTTCTGGACAACCGAAAAGCGTGATAACAAAGTCATTCATTACAAAAGTAAAACGAAATGTGTGTTTGAAAAAAAAAAAATCGGCTAGAAAAATTGCAGAAAAAATTGGATGCTCAGCTAGAACTGTATCGAGAGAAATCCAAGAAGACTTAAGTTTGAAAGTATACAAAAAGATTAGAGTTCCTCTCTTGATTGCCGCGTTCATTTCAAAAAGAAAGTCATTTTCCAACTGGATCAGAAATAACTTCAACAGTGAATCTTGCAGTTCAACCTTGTTTTGCGATGAAAAAATCTTTGATCAAAATGGACAAATTAACAGAAAAAAGGATATTGTGTATGCTCAATTAAGATCAGCAGCAAATCAAGACGTTGGTACCAAAGAAGGGCGTAAGTATCCATTCAAAGTCATGGTTTGGGTTGGGCTTACTTACAATGGACCAACCGAAGTAGTTATTTTACCAGAAAAATTGAAATTCAATACGGATTTTTATATTCAATTAGGGCTTCCCATTATTAAAAGGGATGGCATTAGATTGATTGGAGCCAACTTTATGTTCCAACAAGATGGTGCCGCGTGCCATACAAGCAAAAAGACCATGAGTGCTATCGATGAGATTTGATTATCGGTTATTGCACCTAATATTTGGCCTTCGAATTCCCCAGACTTCAGTCCACTTAATTATTTTTTTCTGGAATGAAGTAAAAAATCGTTTAAAAAGTAAAAGTACCAGAACAGGAAAAAATTGGTTGAAAAAATCAAGGAAACAATTCAAGAAATACTGATAAATATGATCCAAGATTCGATCGATAACTTTCGCTCTCAAGTTTATGCTGTTGAGAAGAATGAAGGAAGGCTAATTTTAAATAAATATAGTTAAACTTTAGAACAAAAGTTTATCTTTTTTTTAGCGTTTTTACTTTTAAAATATCTTTATATGTTGCCTAAAAAAACTTCTAAAAAACTTGTCTCATTCTTTACGCCGCACCCATTAATCTGAAAATTATGATTTCTACATGTTTATTTTAAACGCATGTTCTAGTGTAATCTAGTATTTTTAGTCTAATCTATATATTTACTTCTAAGTCTAATCTATACATTTACGTTCTGTGTGTTTTAATGAATGTCTTTGCGCTTAATATTACTTATACTATATTTAAAAATTAGTGTCCGTTAATCAGACTTCTGTGTGAGTGACGCCAGCCTAATAAATTACTTTATATATAAATCATTAACTTATTATTATGAATAATTTTTAACTATCATTGTAATATTTATTAGTATTAATAATAATAATCAAGTATTTCAAAATAAATAAAGAAATACCATTTAAAAATACAAAACAACTTTAATTAGGTATCTCAAATATAAAGTTCAGTTTTGAACTACATTTAGGAAACACTTATAAGATATGATAGAGATAAAAAGAACTCGAATATATCATTTATTAAGAAAACAGCATTTTTTAGTTAATTTTTGAAATAGAAAAATTCCAACTTTAAGAAAAAGCTTCATATAATAATTTCATATTATATTGAGCTTTTCTTTGAAAATAGTTTCAGAAAATTTTGATTTTTTGAAGTTTGAGTTTTCCTATTTCAAAAATCTTCCATGTTGTTGATAAATAAGATTTCCGAGGTTATATTTGTTTTTTATGTTCATTGTATATAAAATTTGAAAAGACATTGAGTTTAAGTTTATCTTACACTCAATGTCTTTTTATAAAAAGACATTGAGTGTAAGATAAACTTATCTTTTTGGGGGCCTCTAAATTTGCGGGGCCCGGGGGCTATAACCCAGTAGTTCCGGCACTAGCAAATACCAAGAACTTTAGTTAATGAGAGGAGCTTGTTAATCTTTTTGCCAAATCTACCTAATTGCAGCCATTTAAGCATAAGACAATAAGGGAGTCATAAAAGTACAGTAACGTTAATTGTTTGTTACTTATTTGCACTTAATCGTTCGTGGATTGCTTTTCTTTGTTACTTAATTGTAATTGTACGTTCTTTAGCTGCGTTCACTTTTTTTCTATTTGAGTTAAATTTTTTTAATTACCTTATTCTGATGAATTTAAAGCATTTCAAATTATCTAGTTTATTTTGTATAAGTTCTACATAATCAAATTCTTGAATAATTTTGAGAAATTTTAGAACAAGTAACATGGCAGACAGCCAAATAATCTTTTTAGACAACATGTTGAGATGTTATCAAGTTGATTAATCCTAATATGATAAAAAAGTTAATATGTAAATATTTATTTAAAAATTTTTTAAAATAAAAAATACGACAGCGCGTCTGTGTTCAAAATAATAAAAATGAATTTAAATGTTTAAAAATGAAAACATTAAAGGATAATTTTTAGAAACAAAAATAGTTAAAAAACCAAGCAATCAACTAATATGATTGATAAACGGTAAACTAAATTTTATTTAAAATGCCATTATTTGCTATATATATAAATATATATATATATATATATATATATATATATATATATATATATATATATATATATATATATATATATATATATATATATATATATATATATATATATATATATATATATATATATATATATATATATATATATATATATATATACAGTACCCTAACATAAATATGTATCAACCTCAAAAAATTATATTTGTTGGTTTTACAATGCTATAAACAGTAATTTATTCAACAATGAACATATAATTGCACTCACAAAATCGGTATAACACACAATACAATGCAAATTACCATTAAATTAATATTTATTAATTACAATATAATTAATAAATATTATTTTAAAGCAAAATCAACTAAAGTAATGCAAATGTGAAGCTGTGCAAGCAGTAATAGTAAAAAATCATTTTATTTAATACAAGTACCAATTTAAAGTTGCATAATAGCTGTTTAAAATCGCTTAAACTGGCACTATTCATATGTTTTTCTAGAATATTCTACTCTAATTTCATTTCTATGCAATAGCTAGTAATCATTATTACATAAACCTAAAGTTCTCTCTTATACCCAATAATTCTTACCTTTAATTAAATGCACGGGGACTAATTATATAGCTTAAAAACTTTTCTGACAACAGAGTTTACAAGTTAAATCTTTTTCATCTCATATAATCATCAGCTAAAATTAAATATTTAAAATTTTTTTTAATACCTCTATAGGTTTTAAAAAAATCAATACAAAATGTAATTATTTGTGTACAAACTAATAATATTATAATTTCAAAAATACAATAAAATTAATTAAAAAGTTTAACATGTCATACTAAAGAAATAAGAATTAAAAAAAGAATTGGTTAAAAAGATTGGCAATATGTATAGAAAGTAATAACTAAACAGAAATTGTCGTTTGGACATGGTTAACCTGTTTATTCATACCAGGTTTTGATCATTCTATGAACATACTTTCTTAAAGTTTTAATTCAAAGTTATTAGATGCCGAATCTATAAGAGAAACAATTATCATTTAATTGCATGAAACAATTATCATTAGCATGGAGATGCTTATAGATATGACACTTTTTGTCTCTTTTGTAACGTTGATATATCAGCGTCTTGAGATGGCGAGAAGTTTCGACTATATAACAGGAGTTACATTCTGCTTATTTTTAATAATATATAACAATAAATAAAATAGGATAGATAATAAGATAAAAGTTATAAAATAACAAAAAAAAAATGTAAATTTAAATTTAAATATTATTTTTTAATAATATATAACAATAAATAAAATAGGATATATAATAAAATAAAAATTATAAAATAACAAAAATAAAATGTAAATTTAAATTTAAATATTATTTTTAATAATATATAACAATAAATAAAATAGGATATGTAATAAAATTTTACAGTTTAGAAACTTTTAAAAAATCAGCTTCAACCAAATTAAAGAAGAAGAAAATGAAAAGGAAATGCACAAATTGAAAACAAAATTAATATAAAGCAAGCAAAAGCAGACATCAAAAAGGATAATCTTATATAGAAAAAATGTTACTATAAAAATGAGCCAAAAAATGTATTAAAACAATGTGTAACTTGTATTTTATGTTTTTAAACATGTTTTTTGCAAATAGGTTTCTACTAAAAATGTTAAATCTAGTTCTGTGTTTTCATTTTTTTTTAGTTGAATTCAAAAAAATATTTCATTTTTCACCAACATTTTAAAATTTTTTTGATCTTACCAAAAACCAAGGCGGTGCAAAATATTCCCTGACAGCATTTTTTGCACGTTTAGACATCTACACTATACGCAAGTGAAAAATATATTGATGAATGCTTTGTGAAAATTTTGATAAATGTTCACAAATTTTTTTATGTATGCTTT